TTATTATTATTATTATTATTATTATTATTATTATTATTATTATTATTATTATTATTATTACTAGATGGGAATGAATCAGGTTACGAACTAAACCCATTACAACCAAAAGCTCAAAATAAGATTTTTGCTTGCTGGTTGAACTTCAGTACAAATATAGACTTGATTCATTGATTAACTTGAACAGCCTCCTAATAACACATTTAGTTGTTACTATGACAGCAAAATTATTTATTTCATAAATTGATTAACTAAAGGCTCTAAAGAATTTGTTGGCAAGGATTTTTGTTTTGTTGTGTTTTGTGTGTTTTTTTCGCATTTCAAGTTGTCTTTAAATAGCTTTGTATATCTACCGAGATGGAAGGTATGAATTCAGGATTTATTTATGATTTGCGTCGGGAGGGAAGTTATCTAGTGGTCAGAAAGTGGGTTTGCTTGCGTCTCCACGTGTATGTAATGTATACAAGAATGATATGAAATTTACTGCGAGAAAGGATAGAACAGATGGTTATGAGGGAATTTGTGGAGTCAGAGGCGAGAAGGGTCATAGCGTGAAAATCTCTATGAAAGGAATCTTGGTTTAAGAGGGGTCTTCTTAATTTACTGAACGTCAGTCCATGAAAAGTAAAGTGTGTATTTTTTCAGATATAAGCAGATTTGGTGATACGTTGATGAATCATTGAAGTTTTTCGTGATATAAGGATGTTCTACATAATTAGTGCAGAGACGTTAACACTTATTTTACTACCATAGTATTTTTAACAGTATTAAAATTCTATAATATCACCGATTATGTGGGTTGTTTTTTCTAATAAAATACTATCTTTAACATTTAGTATTTGTTTGAAAAAATAGACGGGTTGATTCTATATTATTAAAATGGGGGGTTTGGGGGGTGATAGCCCCCAATAATAAAAGTTTAAATACAAAGTGTTAGTGAAATATACTGCGAATTCTCGAGTGTATAAAAATGTATTAAGTAGATAAGTTGCGTTTTTAGTAATAAAATATTGGCTTTGAGTAGTAATGAAAGCTTTTGTAGTAAGTGATTGTGAAATAGAAATTATATTTATTGCGATAACATAATGAATATTACAACACGCGAATAGTAAACAAGGATTCAGTTCAGTGAGTCGAACTCATTATCATTCCTGGAAATATTTCACTCATCTTCTCGGTCAAGAGGGAAACGTGATGAAACTTTAATTTAAATTTATTCTGTCAAAAAACAGTAAACACTGTATGTGACGTAGGGGGGGGGATATTATCTGCGTACGTTTCCTTGAGTTCCAGAATCCCTTCCCGTCATTTTAATTATTAATAGTTGAAAGATGAGTAAAAGTTTAACATAAACAAATAAAAATAAATTTTAAAAATCGCAAAATTAGCAATATTTGAAAAAATAGTCATTTTCGTCTCTAAGTTATAGAAAACTTATTTG